CGTTCTCTATATTCAAAATATATCGTGTTTAAGGCATTTAATTGTTTGTATTTTCTTGTGTGTGTGTGTGCGTATTTAACATTTGAGTATTTACACTGTATTTATCTGGGTTCACTGGAAAAGGAAAAGAGGAAATATAATCATTCTAGAAGATTCCCCCTCCCCCTCGGGAAATGTATGGATGAATTTTTTTTTTTTGCAATTTAGCGTAATTTATGTAAGTTTGATATGGTTGATGCCTACCGTTTGCAAATATAAATGGCAATAGGTGCTTTCAAATTGAACTGCCTGTACGTACGCACTCCATAATATAATAATATCATATAAATTTGTCAAACATGATATGTCAGACGCAGATCGTTATTAGATCTTACACTGGTGCAGAGTTTCGGAATACCACATTCATTCTCTCACAGCTCAATGCTAATTCAATATGACGGGGTGAGTTGAATGCCGCACACAAAGAAAGGCCACGTATCCCTACGTAGTCGTCGTATTCTATTGGTACAAATTATTATCATTAATGCTATCGGAATTGATTCCAGTATTATACGAAATAATATTATATATAATCGTTAACGCAGCTGAAACCAAAATTCCGAACGTATAGTTTGTCGTTTTGCGTTTTCCCTCACAGCAACTATATATATTCAGTAGAAAATGTTAATTAAAACTATATATTGTAAGTATCGATTTCGAGCCAAAATTAACATTTTTGTCATTAAACTGTACTCATAACAAAATCGTTAGCTGGCACTGAAACAGTTGTTTCTTGGCCGTGCCTTTGGATGTGGATTATTTGTCTCGCATTAGGAGAACGGGTCATTTCTGCGATTCCAAAATCTCTTTTTAAACTATTCTCTTAAGCAAATAACCTCTACAACAATCTAACTAGAAGATTGTTTCATATTTCTATTACATTGACTTATCTCGTCAACAGCTCAATGACTCTATTATATCCAACAAGCTTTTAAATAATTATATTAAATATTTAAATACATTTTTATTTCTGTTTAGTTTTAAAATCTAAAATCGTCATGAATATTGTAATATTTTATTGCATCTCTATTATTTTTTTGTGATAATATAAATCATGAAGAAATGATTTGTTTATCAATTAACAATATTATCTTTATTTTATATTTGAAATCGCTACTTTGCATTAATATTTATTATACAATTCTTAAAAAAAGTAACATAGTGTATTATTTTTTATTTAAGGCGATTATTGTATACACTATACATAATAAATAATTGTTTTACTAGAATTAATTGTTGTTGGACCACTCACTAGTGCAAGTTACTTAATGATAAAAATAATATAGGTTTATTTTCTAAAAATACTAAACAGTATTGCGTATAATATTTATTATTATCTGTTCATAATATATTATTAAACTATATACTTAGGTAATACAATAAAGTAATTTAATATCACTATGTGTCCATTATTTGGGATTTTTTTTTATATAACCTAATATTAATTAATCGATAATATCATATGACTATAATATATGATTTTTGAGTGATATTTTTTTTTCTTTTAAAATAATATTTCATATGAACTATTGAAAAATAGACGATTAAAATGTCTTAATTTGGGCAAATGTATAAATATATTAAGCTGATCAAGGCCACGATAGATTAATGTATAATATTATATACATACTGGAATAATATCATATTTTTAATTGTGTATAATAATACAATACAATTAGTTTTAAAACTTTAGATTGTGTTTAAAATAAATAGGAGACTTATTTAAGTTATGTATTTACGGTTTTATAACTTCTGAAGTCGAATGAACAATAAGCAAACTACCCTTTACAAGATAAGAGTGAATCGTGCAAGAGCGCAAAAATAGTAAGGGAAACGAATAAAAGAAACGTAACGAATTGCAATAATAAAAACACTTGGTAAAAAAATATTATTATTCTGAATATTTAGGTGAATAAAAGTTTCACGTAGGGTCACCAAGATGAAAAGTTGATGTAAAATAAATCTGGTGGCCTGAAACGTAATTTAAATATTTTGTTTAATGGCTACAACAGATATTTCTTAACGAAGTTTATATTTCATTAATTGTGTTGTTTTAATTCTATAAATTATCAACAGTCAACACGTTTTTGTCACGTCGATGTTTCATCTATCTTCCGGTTTCAAAGTACGGAAAAACGACTATAGAGTACTACATAATATTAAATCAGTCTAGAACCAAATGATAAGTTTCTGTTACTTTGAATAATTATTCGTTTATTTGTTTTTTTTTGTTTTTTGACCAAGGTCTAACACATTAAGGTCTTATATTTTCTAAAATAAGTTAATTAGCTATTTTGTAGGGGTGACAGTTTGTACAGTTGGTACGGTTTCAACGGTTGGGATGGTTGATAAGGTTGGTTCGCAATACGTGTATGCTGTAAAGATTTGAAACTAAGAACACGGGAGGTCACCCATCCGATAACTAATGGCACTCAGAGCACATTAGTGACATCAGTCACCACGCCACAATTTAAAGTTTGTTCTTATCTATAAACGATAATAGTTTATTGATTATGGTATTTTATTATTTGGATCATATAAGGTAATCTTTTAAAGGTAAAAACTTATTTTATCGATAAGTTTTTATTAGAAATTATTATTTTTAGCTAATTCATTGAATTCATTACAAAACAATATTTTTGAAAAAAATATATCTTCTATTGTTTTCATTTTGTGAGTAGTTTACTTTTTTCAATGATAGCATACATTTTAAACTTCATATTCCTCAGCAGAATATAATTTCGAAAACATTTCAACATAAATATAATTATGTAAATTCGAAGAAGTATTTAATTAGTTATAACTATAGTTTAGAGTCTAAACTTAAGATCCATATCACTTATAAGAGTGGTCTCTGAGTAGTCTATCATTCCGAACCTATGAAGTCCCTTTAACAATAAAGGGGCACTACTTAAAAACAGAATAAAAACTTTTTGTTTTTAGTAGGAATATTATTATTGAATTTATAAATACTTTTATTAGGTACTTATAGGTAAGTAGTTAACGATAAATATCATTTTCAATTGATTATAATATATTTACTTCATACATTCTTAATAAATGTTCATTTCAAATTATTTCAATTTTATCTTATTTTATTTTTTCAATAAATGTTTGTGTTATTTTGATATTATCATCATACACTTTGTAAAATATAACCACGAGTGTGCTTTTTTATCAGTTTCTGTCATAGCTAACAAAATAATGTATTTTATTATAAATTATGGTTTTCAAGCTATCTATAGTTTTAATTATAATTCCTTTTCTCTTAATTTAAAACAAAATTGATTGAGAAGTTTTTTTTTATCATTTTAACAATAACAGTTGATGGGTACCTATAGTACCTATATCGGATTACACAGTCTTTATTTGCGGATGTGTTATTATTTTTTAAATATGTTTTTCTTTGTTTTCTATACAATGAACTGTGTTAATATAGTTTAAAAATAATATAATTAGTGTGTACGTGCTTTAGTGTTTTTTTTTTTTTTTTATTATTACTCTAATAACAATAATAATAGGGGAGGTGTGAAAACAGTAACTTACAGATTACAAGCTCATTTCCGGTATGGAATATAATTTTTTAACTGTTTTTTTTATACATATTGTCTATGAATTTTAATTCGTTTTGTCCGTATTTAACTTCTGTTGACACGTTTTTATTTTTAACGATACAATGTAATCATGTGTGTATAGCAATGTAATATGCATACAATGACCATTGAATAATAAAAAAAAATATACTGACGTTTAAAATAGTTTGCAACGAAAATAGTAGCAAAAAGTGGAAACCACGATTGAAATGAATAACATCAAAAACCATGTACCCACTGTATTTATTACGTAGAATACATTTTATATTAATATTATAATCATCATTCATCGTTAGTATCTATAATCGATAAGGCAATGTTGTATATTATAACTTATAAAGGATGACAATAATATGTATGTAATTTCGTAAATTTTTCAAACTTGAAATGAATCACAACAAATATGCAATGATAAATAAATAAGGTATTTTAGTATGACTGGCCCTATTCGATTTCGGTTTAATTATGTTAGCTACGTTAAAAGGGTATAAATAGTTTACATGAATTCACGAGAAACTTTTACTATATTATAATTTATAATCGTAGAATGTTAGCGGAAATGTATATATGCGTGCGGCGTGTTTCAAAGCAGCAAAATAATGAAACTTTAAACATTTAACGCTGAAACTTTTCCTAACCATCATGCGTGTTATTACTGTTCGGACCACGCTCGTCCGGTACAACAACAGATTAAATTCAATAGAATTCATGAAATGCGGTGCGATACACTAGTTCGGGCCGAGGAGCCGAAGAAAAATGCGAATATATGTCTGTCTCGTAGGTAGGTCGGAACAGTGACGTCTCATCGGGTGCGTACCTTCGTATGCCCTCGGCGGTTAATATATATTATTATTATTATTATCATGGTTCTGCCGTGCAAAAATACCGTGTCCTGCGGCACAGAACGTCGCAGGTCATAGTTGTGAGGGTGGGAAGTGGGGTTTTAGGGGAAACTAGCGCCCCTTTTGTTCAGCGGCCCACGCGTCCCGGGCGGAATAACATGTTTATTAAAGGCGACCAAAGCCCTTCTCTCGGAATATCGTGTAATTAAAGACGTTGCCAGGCCGGTGTATACATATTACACTGCTGCAGCAATCTAAACGTCGCCGCACAATCCCCCGCAGCAAGAAACAATACTGGCGACACCGCCCCACGACCCTCCCGGCGGTTTTCCTTTGGCGGTCAGTCGACCCCTTCGGTCGGCCGATTCCGAACGAAGAAGAAAAAAAAATAATCATAAAACGCCTAGACTGGCCGTAATGAAGATTTTCATAACGTATACCACACGCTGTGCACGCGCACATAATGATGATAATAATAATAATAATAATGTAATGCACCTACACAGTATACAATGTAATATAGAGCTTACAACACTGTCAGTTCATCGAATTGGGGGTGAGGATGGTGTCGGAGGAGTGTTTCGCCCGATTTTTCCGAATGGTTAGTATATATACGTCGCTCGTCGGCCATGAATACCGAACAATCTGAAGAATTTTTCGCAGATGTATACATTTTTCCCCCTTGGAAGTCTACTCTTTTGGCATATATTATACTTTTGCACGCGGGTCCGCTAATTCTAGTCGTTTCTGCACTGAACTGTTTTGAGGCGGGCTGGCTGAAAAGAGAGGACGAAGAGAGTACGTAAGCACAATAACGATTGAAAACCCAAGACGGTGAGCGGTTCCGATTGGACGGCATAGCGCAGCAATAAAGTAAGGAGGAGGCCTTGCACCACCGCAGTGAAGGGAAATGACTTTGCGAAGTCGAGTTTGATTTGGCGTAATGAGTTTGTAGGGAATCGGCGCTGGTCGTCGTGTAGCGTCGTTCCGTGGCAGCAGCTGTCCAAAGCGATTTAATTGACGGTCCTTCGAAAACAGAGCGGCGGCACTATAATGCTGCGGGACGCTTTTAGAAACACTTTTGACCGTGCCCACTTTAGGTAAGTGGACATTTTCGCTAAACGGCCTTTGGCGAGTTCGAGCGCCCCGGCTGAATATTGCTTTACACTCGAGTAATCGAAACGCCGTTATATACGTGGCATATACATTATACATATATATACTATATACGATATATATATACTGTATATTATTATATATTATATAAATATATACAATATACACACATTATATATATACAAGTCCGGAGGAAATTAATCAAAAACCGTCTCAGTCTTGTGTGACGGTATCACGAAATAGCCATCTCCCTCGGCGGCAATTTTTATTTATAGATATAATAATATATTACTGTACAGGAACGCAGTGCATTTTAATGTAAAAACTACTGTATAATTTACTACGTGACGACAACGACAACATTTTTGCGAACGTATTTATTTTTTTGTAATATTTAATATTTTCAATCAAATACTAAATTAATATTTCAGGTCGCAATATAACGGTATATTTCAATATTAGTAAGTAATATATCATTTACCATTGGGTTCTGAACAAAAAAAAAAAAAAATAAATAAATAAAATACAAGTATAGAATGTAACAAAGTTAATACTTAATACTTCATACAAAAAAACCCACTCTATTATTTTCAGTATTATAAACTTATATTTAGATAACAGAAATGTATTAATAAAATTGTAGCTTTCTGTCATAAATAAAATATGCATTTGGTGTCCCCACTAACTTTTATTTTAGGTAATGGAATTTTCCTGTGTTACCATAAAATACATGACAAAACTATTCATTATTTCAAACTAGGTAACATAATATTCAATCGATATAAATTTTTTCTATCTCCAACAAACTACAATATTTTATACCAAAAGTTAGTTTACTTATCAATAATAATTTAAACATAATATTATATTCTTAATATGATGACTTGAACTTTGTGTTCTAATAAAACTATGCCATCAATTTTGATTAAGTCGTGTATTTTTGAAATGTATTTATTTGTTTAGTTTGTACCCTTTTTCAATTTTAATAAGTTTCAGTAGTACGATGGGGTACCTCGTGTTTTTTTTTCAAGAAACATAAATAATAAGTAAATAACCATCTAATAATCGGGAGATTTATTAAACAGAAAACATTTCCTATAATTTTTAATTATTTTAGGTTCCAAGAGTTATTACATAAATTATTATGTACTCCGTGGCTGGTACACCGACAGTAAGTTTATGATAATATTTATAAAAATGGATAACTTAAAAATAGCTATGTGCACCTACTACACACGGCACAAAAACCGTAAAGAAATGTACCGCTTAATAGCTCATAAAAATATAATAATATTAATAAAACAAAACGAGGCGCTGTACTTTACAATCGCGTTACTCATTTTGTATGCCTGTATGCATTTTTCTAATTAAAAATTAGTGCTTTGTTGAATGTAAGTCGTGTGGGCGCGTTTCTTGCAGGGCCATTAACCTAGGTATTATGGAGTTTCACGGGGCGTGTACTCTTATTTTCGTCCCGTGAATTTTCTGCACTCGCAATCCGCAGCGTATAAACATTAAGACGATCCACGGTGACTTTTCGACGACATAATTTAACCGACAAACCGAAAGATACGCGTCTACGGTTAATAAAATGTACACTGTGCACACAAGTGCTCATTAAAATACATTGTTGAACGCGGCTTCGACAAAATGTCTAGTGGTATCCAATCTTTAACTCCTTATTATTATTTGTGTAAGGAGACCCGTCAAAATGAAGTGTCATTAAATCCGATGGCTTGTATATAGGTATATACGGTTGGCAAATACGGCTAACAAATTCGTATACCGACCGTCACCATTATATCTTATTATTGTCGGCGAATAATAATAATATAAGTATAGAAGAATTAACTGCGTCCTTTTTGTTTTGTAACGAAATATTATCGTTTACTACGATTCGTGCAATGTTTTTACAAGTGCAAAATTAATGTGCACAATTCGTACGTAGGTATGTACCGAGTCATAATGTCATATTTATAAAAAAAAAACTATTTCAATAAATGCTAATCACCGAGTGAAGTCGATGTTATAGGAATATTATGTATTGTGCGATTCAACCAATAAAATAGAAACATATACATCGTTAAGTATCTATACGATTTTCTCGGTGTACATTATTTCTATGTGGGTAACACAATAGTTGCATATTAATATATTGTTATCTAGAAGCCTGGGCCAGTTAATGATAATTATTAATTGTATTAAGTTAAGTTGATAGAAAACATTTTAAAAAGTTGAAAGTTGAAAGTAATCCTATTTTTTTTTTTAAGTTAACGTTTAATGTAACCTTAGAATTAAATTATTAACTTTATTTTGTATAAATATATAACCACAGAAGTAACCAGTAATATGGTTTAAAACAATAAAAAGTAAATGTATATGTGATTATGCTTCATCAACAATATAATTGTATTATATTTATTATTTAATTATAAATATTTATAAATTAACGTATAACTTGGATTTTATTAAAATGAACTCCATATTTATTAAGTGTATATCAATGAAAGTTTTAAAAATTAAAAGTTATTATTTCAAAAGATTCTTATTCTCTTAATAATTTCCCTAATAATAAAAATCCAGCAAAAAATGGTCTGCCTTCGTGCATTTATTTTTTAAAGTATTTTCCTGTATCTTCACTTATAATATCCACCAACCTTCGATGTATTAAATGTATAAATACAAAGAAACATAATGCATCAAGTTCAACAATAGTATTATATACAGCTGCTGTCCATTCAAACTTTTGCCCACTAACACTCGATAAAAAAAAAAAAAAATTAAGTATTTTGTTGAAGTATTCAACATTATTGCAGTATTTAAACCTTAGTTCAGCAAATGGCACTGCAGTAAGAACACTTTATAGTAGTTCAGCAGTTAATCCCAGCCTGCAGTGACACGCAGTAATGGTATTAATTTCCAAAGTTGCAGTGGATAATATTATCATGACGTACTTTTTCAATTAAAAATATAAAAAAAATATAATAAGATAGGTACTGTTCGTATGTCGCATATGCCCCCCCCACCACATTTAAACGTTCAAAAAAATTTGGTTATAATCAATAGTTGGATTAATGTTTTATTTAGGTAATTATATTAAACAATGTGTTTAGTTGATAGTACTGAAATGAATTAGTTAAAAAATTATGGTTGCAATAACTTATTTTATAGTAATTTCAACTATATAAAATATTAACTCAAATTTAACCATATAAAATGGTTGATGTACAAATATTGAATTGTAAAAATTTTAAAATTTTAACTATATAATAATATAGTTATGCCAACCATAAATTTAGTAAAAGTACATTACAAGTGACTACCCAAGGCGGTACTTTTGTAAGGTAAGATTTTATGACCCCCCCCCCTCCCAATATTTTTCTCAGATTACGTACATTTACAAATTTAACATCAGTTTTTTTTTTCAATAATATTTTAACGGTTCGATCCCGAGGAGGTATTAATCCCCGGGTATAGGTTTTTGTAATTTTTTTTTCAGTTTTTTATCCATAGAAAATAGTCATTTCAACTATTCACTATGGTTGATTATACTATTAGTAGTATTTACTAATAACTAAATATAATTGGTAATTTTAACTAAAAATAGAGCTGTCCCATAATAAAGCTTTAAATTCTAGTTAGATCAACTTGAAAACCAGTTACTCAAACATGACTGTTTTTTTCCGTGTTCGGTCTTTATTTTCGTGCACTTAGGGCTCAGTTGTAGGTACTCGAAAACGCGATCGATGACGTAACGATCGTATCCTATGTTCGAAAATGCACTGCAGCGCTTCATTCGGCCGCAACAGACTGACTCGCACTACCACCTCGTGGTATGCAAACATATATTACACACAAACACACACATTACATGTTATATGTGCATGCAAATAGACTGCGAGGCGTCCAATAATATATCCGCCATATCAAAGGTTTCCGATTCGTAGCACCAAAACTACTTGTGAGCTAGTATTTACTGGTATGTGAATAATTCGACCTCACACGATAGCCTCCGCGTGTATAATATCATATACGATATAATATACGAGCGTTTGTGTATTTATAGTCCTAGCCACGGCGCAGAAGACCGCCACTTTCTACAAAAGCCGTTACACCGGGGTCTCGTCGGTGTACACAGACAGTCTCGGCCAACACACCCACCCACACACACACACACACACACACACACACACACATATATATATAGACTCGTTGACCCACGACGAACGGGCTTGCGGGATTAATAATATTCAAACAATATCGTAATAATAATAATAATATACTGCGAACGATAAATCCGAGTTAAAACGGACCGGCAGAACGAAATCGCAAATAGGTATTATAGGTATATATCGCGTATTATTATAATGCTATACGTGTGATGTGCATCGCATTTCGAGGGTCAGCTTAATATAGTATGCGTTCGAAAGGTTATAAATTTATAATGTTGCTGGATATCAGCTGTTGTTGTAGTTGCCTACGTGTTTATTAGATATGCTCCGCCGCCACCGGTGTAGAAACCTCAAACTGTCATAATACAATACAATAATTTATATAACTCAAAACGAAAATTATAATATTATGCGCAGTTGCAGACATATCAACAATATTATTATGGGTAATACGCATTATGCAAGACCTATCGCCAATGGCACGTCCGTCTACGATGATAACATTATATTATAATTGTTATTTTATCCGATTACCAAAGCCACCTTATAGGTCTATCTTGTTTTCTTTTTC